ACAGGAAACTCAAAGCCCTTTCCGTTCCTTTGAGCTAGCTGGAAGGGCTGGGCCTGAAATGATTACTTTCCTATAAAGGACAGAAGAAAAGTTTTGTGTAACTTAAAAAAAAAAAACTTTCCCAGAGCCCTGCATACCAGCCGCCGTGGACACACACCATGGCACAGGGCTGCCTTGTTGCCAGGCAGTGCCGACAGACATCCAGCGAACACGTCTGGCCGTCTGTTTGGCATCTCCTAGCCTCAGATTCTGTTTGCTTTCCGAACCTCTTCTCAGTCTCCGCACCTTTGCTACCACCCTCCCTCGCGGGGGAGTGCCAGGCTGTGCCTGGTTGCGCCGGGCCGGGCCGGGCCCCACAGGATACAGCGGCCCCGCCGGCACTATTCTCGTCTGCCTCTGTTTGCAAAATGCCTGTTGTTCTCGCTGTTTTCCCATCATAACTGAGGACTCGGCAGGGCCCCATGTGACAGGCCTGGTGGGAGAGAGAGCTGTGCCCCAGGGAGTGCGGCTGCTCCCACGTGCCAGGCTGAGGGAGCAGGGGCCACCTGAGTGGATGCTGCGGGGCCGACAGCCCGGCCTGGGTCCGGCACCCCCTTCTGCAGAGCGCGGCGCCTGCCAGCCGGCTGCCGGGGAGCCAGCCTGCGCGGTGCCGCTGGGGCGTGCTGGCTGGCGTTTCTCTTGTGTGTGTGTCCTCCCCTAGCCCCACTTTCGAGGAATTCTAATCTGTGTCAGGCCAGAGAACATTCCTCTCGGGCCCTACCCCAGAGCCCCAGAGCCGTGGCCTCCAGACTTTTAAATAAATCACACACACCCCCTGGCAGGAAAATGTTGTGCACATAACTCCTCATCTGCCTACTTACCAGTGGCATTCCGTGTGCTGCTATGGAATGTGTACGTTCGAAACATACAGGCAAAGGTAATCTGAATGATGTAGGTGATTTTAAAGGACGGAAGAAGAAGGGGACGATTACAAATTTGCTTTTAATCTGATTTTATTGTAAGTGCATGTTATTGGATAGACTCCTTAGAAAAAATGAAATCTTGTTCCTCCCTTTCTGATTCAGTGGTGCCTCGGTGTGTCCCCAGCAGAGTGCATTTCGGAACTTTACACTTTACGTTTCCCTCGCTGGAAACAGGCTTTCAGAGAAAGGACTTTTCCGTGCATCATGTGTACCATCTCTGTGCTTACGAAATCCTGATCCCCATTTTCCCAGCCCGTCCCCAGTTACACAAAGGATTTTGCTGAACTTTGCAGTTGCTCTTGCAGTTTTTGGTTGTTTTCTTTTTAACAAGGCTACACCGCCTCCGGAGCTCTTTAGTTTGGAATTCTTTTAAAGATAAGGAAATTGTTTACAATTCCTAATTGTAGGAGTACCGTGTAGAGGCACAGGAAATTTTATTTTTTTTAAATTATTTTATTGATTTTTTACAGAGAGGAAGGGAGAGAGATAGAGAGCTAGAAACATTAATGAGAGAGAAACATCAACCAGCTGCCTCCTGCACACCCCCTACTGGGGATGTGCCCGCAACCAAGATACATGCCCTTGCCCGGAATCGAACCTGGGACCCTTCAGTCCGCAGGCAGATGCTCTATCCACTGAGCCAAACCGGCTTCGGCAAGGCACAGGAAATTTTAGAGATGGCTTATTCTTTTAAAATGTATTGGATTTTTAGTTATTTATTTAATTGGGATTTTAAAAAATTATTTTTAGCCAAAGCCAGTTTGGTTCAGCGGTAGAACGTCGGTCTGCGGACTGAAAGGTCCCAGGTTCGATTCCCGTCAAGGGCATATACATTGGTTGCGGGCACATCCCCGGTAGGGAGTGTGCAAGAGGCAGCTGGTCAATATTCCTCTTTCATCGACATTTCTAGCTCTCTATCTCTCTCCCTTCCTCTCTGTAAGAAAAACCAATAAAATATATTTTTTAAAAATTATTTTTAATTCTCTACACAGTAAAATTCACTCTTTGGTGTCTAGTCCTGTGAGTGTTGACAAATACATGTTCTTGTAACCTCTCTCACCAGTCAGAACAGTCCCACCGCCCCCTGCCAGCCCTCTGTAGTCAAACTGTCCCCTGTCCCATAGCCTTCGGCAGCCGAGGGTTACAGCCCAGTGCATTTCACATGCATCCACGTTGCTATGTTGCTATGTGTGTCCGTGGTCAGATCTGTGATTTTCAGACACTTCTTCCCAGTCTATCTTATATTTTTATTCTCTTACTAGTGTCTTTTTTAGAGCAAAAGTTAAAACTTTTTATGAAGTTCAGTTGGGCAGGTTTTAAAAATTAATTATGTTCCTGTTGAAGTATCTTAAGAAATCTTTTCTAACATTAAGCAACAAAGATTTTTCTCCTGCATTTTCTTCTAAATATTGTCCATTTTGAATTAATTTTTTTTGCATAGGCATTTCCGTTGTAGACTACAGAGATCACATAAAATGAAAATACTGCCAAAATGCCAGTTCTCTCCATAGCAAAAGTTTCTTTTGAAGAGGAGTTATATTTTCATTCCCTGTTAAAATGTCACCTTTACTTTGAAGGGACAGATTTAGTGTGTTTATGTTTTTGGAAAATCTGGCAAAATAGCTTACTTTTTACCACAAAAGGCAGCTAGCTTGGAATGCTGGTCTTTTTGCGGGGGGTGGGAGTGGAGTATAACTTACATTCTCATTTTTAAGATTTTTTTTTATGTAAATGAGCCTCTTTGTAGTTCTTTATCTCATTACAAAAAATTACAAGGACCCTACTGTTTAAAGATCTGCTTTTGTGAGCTCAGTCTCTTGCCATCCCAGAGCACAGAAACAGTGGTATTCACAATGTGCTGAAAGCAAAGGTAAAAGAGTACCCCTCCCCCCGAAAAACACACAGCGAGAGCCCCACACTTCCTGTTCCATACCTGTGCACATGACACATGCTAGCCCAGGGGAGATCCCAGAGGCAATCCATGTCTTAGGACTGTTTAGCAAAACTTTTAAAGATGAAAGAAAATAGATAAAATTTCTAATAATTTTTTTCCTACTCTGGGGGGTTGTCTTGTGTATCTTCTGGGAATACCGCTGCCCTGAAAAGTCCTAGGAAGCTGCCTCGCTTCCTGCTGGTGACAAACAGATTGCAGGTGACCTGAGTGTGTGAGAGGCAGGCCACTTTTCCTGTCACAAATGGTAAAGCTGTGGTGCCATTTTCTGCCTGCTTTCTTCTAGAATTCATTTTCCCACTACCACCTCCTTCTAAGCTCTGAACCTAAAGGTCTTGACAAATGTTTTTTTTTTTTTTTTTTACTTTATTTGTATTATTATTTTTAAATATACTTTTATTGATTTCAGAGAGGAAGGGAGAGGGAGAGAGACAGAAGAAGCATCAATGATGAGAGAGAATTGTTGACCGGCTGCCTCCTGCACACCCCCTACTGAGGATTGAGCCCACAACCTGGGCATGTGCCCTTGACTGGAATCAAACCTAGGGCCCTTCATTCCCCAGGCCGACACTCTATCCACTGAGCCAAACCAGCTAGGGTTTGACAGATGTTTCTTAGAGACGACACTCCTGATTATTCATAATGTATGGCCATTGAACTATAAGAGAGAGAGAGAGAAGAGGCTGCAGAGGTGGTGGGGCCAGACCCTGAAGCCCTTGCTATCCTGGCTGGTGTCTTTGTGCTCTAAGGTTGAGCCGATAAGTTGGCCAAATCCCTGCTCCCTGTCCCTGGGATGTTATCTCATCCAAACACTTCCAGGCTTCAAGGCTGCGACACTCAGTTTCACGCCCAATTCTAGTCTGAGAGCTCCTGTGCGCCCCAGGGACGGTTCAGGGCCCAGGAGAGCTGGTTGAGGTTTGAGCAGCGGCTGGGGAACGTCCGGCGCCACACCTGGGGGACAGGCTTCTGGTGTGTTTGTGTGTTGCAGGCAGCCAACAGTTCAGCTGCCCGGGAGGCAGCTTTCCCCCAAGTCAGGCATTCTGCCTTTCTCCTTGGCTGGCGGCACTGACCCCTGAAGGCCTGTGCTCCTGGCAGCGACGGTCCTGTGGGCACCGATCTGCATCCAGTCTGGTTAACCAGTCCCCCCCGGGTTCCTCCAGCCACTGAGTAACAGAGGTCATGGGAGAGCCCGCTCCTTAGGCGTCTGTTTGTTTTCAGAGTGGATTTCAGAACGGACAACGATATTCAATTCAGGGTACAACCATCAGACCATTAAAAATGCAGGCAGCAATGCAGAACCCGGCCGGCTCACGTCAGCCAGGCATGTCAGGGTAACCGGAGGAGGCAAACATGGGTAGGGCCCGTGTTCGTGGGAGTAGATGCCAAGTGGCATGGCCGGCCCTGGCTCCTGTGTCTCCTGTCCCCTGCCACCCTCCCGCCGGAAGAGAGGGAAGCTCTGTGTAAGCTACACGTTTGCATGGGATTGCTGCTCAGCGAGCACTCCTGTGACCTAGGGATCCGGTTGCTCACACCTCAGAAAGAGACGCCTCGTGTAGGAGGGTGTAACTGCCATGGAGGTTAGACGCCACAAGAAGGCACAGCGCGTGAGAAGAAGGTGGGCTCGATGGTTTATTCTTGCCCCAGGGATCCTTCGCTGTCTCTGGAGAGCTGGACCAAAAGGGTGAGAGAGGAGCCGGTTCCCATGGGCTGGTTTCCATGTCCTCTCGCCTACGCAAGGACAGCCGTGGCCAGCACGCAGGGCTGAAATCAAGTGGGTCTGGGAAAGGCCAGTGTGGATCCGTGATCTCGGGTGGATCCTGGTATCAGAGGATGTCAGAAGGGAATTGGGAGTTGGTGATTTTCCTACCTTCTCTCCTGGGCTACTGACAATAAGACAGTCCTGGTGTGGGCTGGCCGGGCTCCTTAGCTCTGTCTGTTCTGCCTTCTCCTGGACTGCTAACTGGCTCACTGCTCCCTTTTTCCTTTGTCAGTCCTGGAGGGCCATGGTCACTGTGATTCTGCTGGTTTTCCCCGAGTGGGTGGGTGAAGGAGATGTCTAACCATCCATTTGTGTTCTTGCATTTCAGTCGTTCCAAGGAAGCCAAGGACGCGCATACCTCTTTAACTCAGTGTGAGTGTCTCTCAACAGTCCGTCCATTGTTGGTGCCCCTTTGAGGGATGGGGGAAAACACAACAACACTCAGTGATGATTAAACAACGGAGCCTGCCCTCTGTGCCACAATAAAAATTAAAAAAACCAGCCGTGGCATGTTGCATTCCACAAGTGGTTGCCAGCTACCTCGGGGGGATTTTTTGGCAGCATCTTTGGCTGCAAACAATATATGCATGGCCCCCAGGAGGCACATGGGAGAGCTGTGGTCTCATAGGGAAGAAGCTGATGTGCTTCTTAGGAAGCCTCCACGTGAGGGCTTAGAACCAGGTCTGAGGCACGCTGGGAAAAGGAGGAGATTGCAGGGAAGACACCAGCATCTGCTGGAGGACCTAAGCTGGAGGGAAGGCCCTCCATTCCTCCGGCAAATGCACAGTCTGCCCCAGCCCTCAGTCATTAGCCGGGCACGTCATTTACGGCCTCTTCCCGGGAAAGGAAGGTGGCGCGCACAAAGCCTGCGTGTGCAGTCGAGAGGGTGCGTGCTCTGTGGAGGCGCAGAGTGGGTTTGATACCCAGGGCTCGCTCACCCTTGTGCTCAGGGCAAGCCTGGGCTGTCATGTTTCACATTTCCGGCTGCAGCCAGCCCCCAGGAAGCTCCGAGGACCTGTGCCCATGGCCTTGGACTTCCCAGTGTGGCCGCCAGTTTGTCCCCTGTATGTTACAAGATTGAAAGCACCTCTTAGGAACATTCCAAGCAAAATCTCAACCATGAAGACTATTTCTAGTCAACTCGTTGAATCAGGACTCGCAGGCCTAACATTCACTTCGGTGGAGATTTTCCACGTGGCTGGCCTTTTGGGGGGAGGGGGTTGCTATTGATTTCAGTGGTGGAGGACACCCTCCTGGGCGTGGGCTTCCCCCGAGGCAGCTGTGCTTGGCTGGTTTTTTGCTGGGAGCTCAGCTTGAGCAACGGATGCTGAACAGGTGACTGACTACCCGTTCTCTCTCTCTCTGTCCCTTGGCACAGAGTTAATGTGGGCTGCGGGCCTGCGGAGGAGCGAGTGTTGCTAACGGGACTGCACGCAGTCGCAGACATTTACTGTGAAAACTGCAAAACCACTCTGGGCTGGAAATACGTAAGTACTGAGAAGTCTGGTGGAAAGAGGGACCCGCAGGGGAAGCCGAGAGCCTCGCTTTAGAAGTGGCCTGAGGCCTGGGGGACCGTCTTTGACCAGGACAGGAACCTGGCCCCAAAGGCACACTCCTGTTCGCCATACTATTCTTTCCTTTTCACTACTCTTTCCCTCACACCGCCCCTGAGACAGACAGACACATACACACACCCCTTTGCCTTTAAATAAACAATAACACGGGCACAGCATTTCCTGACAGCTTACTGTGTTCCAGGCATACCTTATTTTATTTACTCTTCACAGTATCCCATCCCCAGAGGGTAGGTCATATTTTAACCTCTATTTTTAAAAAAATATATATTTTATTGATTTTTTACAGAGAGGAAGGGAGAGAGATAGAGAGCTAGAAATGTCGATGAGAGAGAAACATTGACCAGCTGCCTCTTGCACACCCCCTATCAGGGATGTGCCCGCAACCAACATACATACCCCTGACCGGAATCGAACCTGGGACCTTTCAGTCCGCAGACCGACGCTCTACCGCTGAGCCAAACTGGTTTCGGCTTAACCCATATTTTTAAAAAGCATGTTTTCATTGATTTGCGAGAGGAAGGAAGAGAGAGAGAGATAGAAACATCATCAATGAGAGAGAATCATTGATCGGCTACCTCCTGCATGGATCCCCCCCCCCCTCCCACCGACTGGAGATGGAGCCCACAACCCACCCCTTCATGTGCCCTGACTGGGAATTGGACTCTGACCTCCTGATCCACAGGTTGATGCTCAGACTCTGAGCCACACCCGCTGGCTTAGCCCCCGTTAAGGATGAGGACATGGGCTGAGGGAGGTCAGCAGTACGTTCCATGTTACCTAGCCATTGCCTGGCTACCTAGGCTAGGGCCCCAGGTGGTGGTCTGAGTGCAGAGCCCCTGCTCTTTCATGCCCCAGTAAGTGCCCAGAGCATCTCTAGTCCCGGGCCCTGTGCTCGGCGCCATCAGCATTGGTAGTGCCTGCCCGCTGTCAGCCATGCTGGGCTGGACTTTGCCAACCGGACATTCATCCCTTCGTTGCAAGTGTTTCCCACCTCTTCTTGATACCGAGGGGAGTCAAGAGTGGGAGAGGCATGTCCTCTGTGAAAATACTTGTCTTGTTGTTTTCACTGGGTGATTCTTCACAGAGCGTTCCTCTGCCCTTTCCTCCGCCTGGCTGAATTGAACAAGGAGTCTTCCCGTCTCTGGGAGGGCAGCTTGTCCCACATGCCATCCCTGACATTCCGCCCTGTCGGTTGCCTACCGTCATGTCCCCGACGTCAGGGAGGAGGGGCCTGCAGGAGGCCTGCTGCTGGCAGAGGATAATGACCGTGCGCATGTGGGCTTGTTGTTGAGACACGTGTACCCTCTGCAGGGGCTGCCGGCGGGGAGGCTGTGTGTCTGTGGGAGCAGGCGTAGAGGGGAAATCTCTGCCTTCTGCTCCTTTTTTGCTGGGAGCCTAAAACTGCTCTGAAAATAGGACAGCTATTTAAAAAGGATGTTGAACAATGGCAGCCAGGCATAAACGTATGCTTGCATTTAAGTAAAGTTTAAAAATATATGCAAATCTTGAAACCGGCTGCAGGTGGAGTCTGTGATGGCGCGGCATGAAACGTTTGGATTAGAAAGGAAAAAGCCTAGATGCTGTGTTTGCCAATGCCGCGGTGGTTTAGCCTGGCCTCCCTAGGCTGCCTTGTTGGTTCCTTCTGGGGGGAAACTGGCCTTGACCATTCGGCGCCTCCCCACCCCCCTGGTGTGGAGACCTGGGCCCTGCTGGGAGACCTGGGGGCCCTGGTTCTGGGTGGATTCTCCCCCCTCTCCTGGCCCTCTCATTCCTTTCAGGCTGTGCTGGGTGACAGATAGCAGATAAGTCAGAGTTGGTTGGTTTTGCTCCCAACTTGCTTCAGGGCAAATGATTCACTGCCTGACAGAGCTTTAGTGAGAGCCTTTGTGTGGGACACAAAGAGAAGCTAAGCAGTCCTCGCCCTGGGTGTTCACAGTCTGGCTGGGGAGCAAACCACAGGTAAACAGGAGAGAGTGGGTAGAACGTCTGCATCTCTCTCCCCAACCACCCTGACCCCTCCCCGTGCCGGGCCAGTGCTCCAGCTTCATCCATGCTTTCCTCCGACCCGCACAGCAGTCCTGTGAGATGGTTCATTGTCCCAGTTCTGTAAGTGGCGAGTTTCTCGTTTTGTACTTTGTGGACGGTTAAGGGCGCCTCTGCCCCTGGGAAGCAGAGTGGAGCGCTCACTCTGGGGTGGAGTTCGGACTCCAGATGTGGTGCTTCGGCACTGAAGCCCAGAGGTGACATTTGGCAAACGCCCTGTGGCTTGTGGAGTGTCAATTTGTGTGAGAATGTGTGTGTGTGTGTGTGTGTGTGTGTGTGTGTGTGTTTTACATAAGGATACACTCCCACTTTCCTAGTTTTGTTTTTTCCTCTCCCCACCCTGAACACACTACTATGGGACAATAGGTCTTATTCCTGAACCACATTCTCTGCTGTATACACACCTCTCTCTCTCTCTCCCGTGTCTTTTCTATAAGCCTGACAAAGTCCACTTTTAAATGATAACACAGACACTGTGTGAACACATCCATGGGGCAGATTTCTGGTTAGCGCCAAAAGCCAAGTTCTCCAAGACAAAATATAGGGTGTCCCCCAAAAGGTGTGCACATTTGTACACACAGATGAATGAAATGCACTCGTTCGGTCGGCAGTTACTCGTTGAAGGCCTGCTATGTGCCGAGCCATAGTCTTGGCGCTTAGGGATGGGACCGTGAACAGGGCAGAGGGAACATCTGTCTCCCCGGAAGCTGATGTTGTCGTAGGGGGAGACGGACAACGAGCAAAACAGATGCACAGGTTCCAGCGCGCGGTGGGAGCTCTGCTCTTAAGTCGCTGAGTTCTTGGCAAGAGCCTACTGAGATGGTGACATTTGGGCCAAGACCTGAGTGAGCAGAGATCCTGAAGCAACGCTGTTGTCAGCGAGGAGGAGGCCCTGGTGTCGCCCCGGTGCCGTGGTTCACTGAAAGGACCCGGTGTGCCCACGTGGCGGGAGTTCTCTCTGGGCGCGTGGGCAAAGCAGGGCACAGGCTCCCGTGCCTGCCCCGGGCCCCGCCTGCTCCCGGGCCACCAACGTCGCCTGCTTGTCTTTCGTCACTGAGCCTCTCCTCCCTTCCCTGTGTTTCCTAGGAACATGCCTTCGAAAGCAGCCAGAAATATAAAGAAGGGAAATACATCATCGAGCTGGCGCACATGATCAAGGACAATGGCTGGGACTGAGCCGCGAGCCGCCTCCAGCCGGTGTCCGCGTGAAGGCCACCCGGCCGGACATTCTGCCCCAGCGCGAGAGGGACTGGACCCTGGCTCCATCCGTGCGGGGGCCTTGCCCCCGGGGCAGCCGCCCAGCCCGACGCCGCCTCTCCGGTGACCGGCCTCTACACCGCTGTCTCTCTGTCTCTTTGCTTTGTATCTGTCTGTGAGTTGATCCTGGCTTCTCTCTCTGTTCGCGTGTCGGCTGAAAACAAAACAGCGAAAGGAACAGGCGCCTGCCCGCATGGCGGCGGCCGGCCGGGGCCCACGTGAGAGCTGTCCCGTGGCCTCTGGTCGGGGAGCCGTGCACCGCGGGGGGTGAGCGAGAGGGAGGGTCCCAGGGTGGCCGGGGACGGGACGGGACGGGAGGGGAGAGGTAGGGACAAAATTGTGCTATTCCTGGAGACCTGGTACCTTAGGCTTGAAGTAACCAAGTTGTCTAAAAGGAAAAAGAGAAAAAAAAAAATACCTCATGACCACGCCCTCTCTGATCAGAAGCTTCTGCTCCTGACACCGCAGGTGCCCAGGGAGCAGGGGGGCACCAGAGTGGCCCTGATCCTGGCTGGCAGGGCAGCGGCCTGCTGCTCCTGGGCCTGTCGGGGTGACATGGCGGCTGTGGGTGGTTGGGGGGAAGCTCAGTTGGGTTTGGACGACTCTGGGGCCCCACCGCTCCTCTGGGCCATCTTCCTTTCCTCTGCAGCCACCAGAGGGTGAGGAGGGGGCTGCCATTTGCAATGGGTGCAAAAATCCAGACATCCAAAGGCTGTGACCAGGAACCAGGAAACATCAGTGACTGAGGAGAACGGGGAACGAGAAGCCGCAGTTGGGGAGCTCCTGTAGAAACAGCTCAGATATTGGGCTCAAACCCCACTCCACCCTCCCACCCCCACACGTAAAACCAATTAGCATTTCTGCGGGTCTGGCCTTTCCCCTGCCCTTCAGTGAGAGAAGGGAACACCGTGGCCAGGAACGGGGTGTGGAGGGGCGAAGCTGGGAGAAGCTTAGCTTTGGGTTGCAGGTTCGGTGCATCTTCCATCTTTGGGATGCAGTAGCTTCAGGAGGCCAGCAGTTCTCCGTCCATAGAGTTTGGGGTGGTTTTCCCCAGTTCTATCTTAATGGATTGTGGAAAACAAAGTCCCTCCCAAGGGTTTGAGCTTAGTGATCGCTTGCATGTGAGAGAGAAAGCTGTCCGAATGGCCCAGTAGGGGGAGGGATCAGACTTGATGTCAAATGTTAATATTACCCGACACCCCCGCTCTTCCCCTCCCCATCCAAAGCTCATTCCATTCGGTGAAGCGGAGAGCAAATCCCTGCGAGGCTCCCGAGAGGGAGGAGTTTGTTACATCTGATCAGCACTCTGTTCCACAGCCTCTTCGCCAGTGCACAGCGCATGGCGGAAGCTCCTTGAGCTGAGCTCCTTTCATTGCCTGGACTGAAAAATATCATTGTTCAGATATGTGCAGGTTATGTCAGGCAATCCTCAGTATCTCATTCCCCAGGTAGGCTGATCCTATAGGAACATTCACCTTTGAAATCGCCAATGAGTGTGTGCGTGGAGACAGAGTCTATAAAATCGATTAGCCAACCCAGGATTGTTCAGAATCGAACCAGCTTTCCCTAGGGGATGGGTCGGCGATGGAAATGCCTTTCTGTGTGTCTCTGTGCTGACCACAGGGTGGGGGCCCGGGGACGGCGTGGTCCTGCCGGCCGAGGTGGGCAGCGGGACAGAAGGCGGGGGTCCGGGCCCACAGCAGATGGCCTCTGTTAAGACTTCTGAGTTTTAGAAATGGAACTTTGTTCCCAGCGGCTTCTCGCCCACATCCCCGGTGCTTTAGTAGCCCTGGGAGATTTTGTTCTCCCCACGTTACTGAAAAGCAAACTGAAGTTAAAAAAAAAAAAAAAAAAAGTATTGCATTTTTGCTGCCAGAGAAATAGTTCCTCTGGTTCCCAGGCACTCCCAGGCCCAAGATCTCAAAAATAAAATTTTTACAACTTTCACATTCCTCAACGGGCTTGCCAGCCCAGAAGTCATAGATTCCCTTCCAGCCCCCTGAAGGTAGTGGCCTTCAGTTAAGGGTTTTGATTAGCCCCCTGGCTCAGGGAATGTCCTGGCTGTTGTTACTCCTCCCCATGATAACAAAAGCGGGGCTAACGATGGGTGTTTTGTCTTTAAAAGTAAGAATGGAGTGTAATTACAGAGAAACCAGACATGAGGTGCCCTAGAATTTTCAGCAGGAGGAGACAGGTGTCCCTCTTCCCTGGGGATGGAGCCTGCACGGATCAGCCCAGGCTCCAATAAGATCCTGGTTGTGGTGGTGTTTATTATTATTAATTATTATTATTAATATTATCCATTGAGCATCCAGGGGTGGAGGGCACCATACTTGGTGCAAAAGATCCAAGAAAAATGTTGGTTTTTCCATAAAAACAGAAACCCAACTCTTTGGGCTTTCCTTTCATGTCATTGAAACCAAAAGTGCTTCTTAAACCTTCAGCTTCGTTCATGGCTTGTCTGCCTAACGTCTGGTGGCCTCGGAGAGCCCTCAGCTGAGCAGTGGAGATGCATCAACGCATGGCCTCGGTCACTTCATTCTTTAATTTTCCTCCCCAAATCATTGACTCAGAGCATAACCAAAGACCTTGTCCACTCACCCCAGGGAGGTTCAGGGAATTGGAGTTCGATGCAAAACTTAGGTGGGGTTGAGGGAACGAGGAAGGGGAGAGGGAGGAGCGAGAAAGGAATCGGTCCAGAGTTCTGTGCCTCCAGCAGCTGCCTTCACCAGCAGCTGAAGTCCAGCCACAGATGCTCCAGTTCCATCCCAGGTCGTACGGCCTTGGTGGCCCTGGGTTACACCCACCCAGCCCCATCCCATCCTTGCTGTTCATCTCAGGCTGCTGGTGGGCTGGTTTGGCATGAGTCAAATTCAGCCGAAGTTGAAGGTCACAGATTGTCATCGGGGCCTGACTGAGTGGTACCCAGACTCTGTGGACAGTAGTAAGATCAGGGACACAAGATGGAGGACATCTTACCCAGCGGGTCAGTGTGAAAAAAAAGAGGCATCCCCTTTATACAAAGATTTTCAAGTGGATATATATAAAAGAAAGTTGCTTGTGAATATATACTTTTGTAAATAATATTTAATTTTTTAAATAATATATTTGGTGCTGTTTTCTCAGATCCCCTGAGAGCACTTTATATTTTTCATTTTTAAATTGTATGGTTTTCTCTGCATTTCTTGAAGTATATTTTAAGGGAAACGGTGATCACCAATGTATTCTTTTATTCGGGGGGGGGAAAAAAAAAGATCTCTTTCACAGTAGTCTGGAGGCAATAAAGCAATGCCTTGCCGTATTTTTCCCCATTGGAATGAACTCTACAGTACACGAGCAGGTTGAGAATCAAAGTATTTTGCACCAGTATTGGCTAGAAAATAAATACAATCAAATAAATTTAGTAGCAGAGTGAAACAAATTGGAATCATGTGTGCGTGTAAAGTGCTTTGGATTGTTGTGCCTCCTGTTTTTTTTATTGGAGACACTAGTTATAGTTTACACCTTGGGCACATAAGGGTTTTCCTTCTCTTTCCCTCTGGTGATGGTTTTGTTCCTGAGCGGACCAATGGCACAAACCTCGGCTCTTGTTTTCCTGAGCGGGGCACTGTTGCTGGCTTAGTCCCTTTTCTTTCCTTGTGTGCTCAACTTTTCTAGACTATGAAGGAGATCTGTGTGTGAAGATCAGGCAGAGTCAGATCTGTGTTTTTCTGAGATGTGGGTGTCTACATCACACATCCCAGGGCTCTGATTATAGAAGCCAAATCATGGTAAAACATCAACTCGCTTTGGAAGAACAGTAAGGGAATAGTGCACATACCTTGTTGGGAAGCAGCTTTTTTTTTTTTTTTTAAGGTCAGATTGCCCCAGGAAGAGGCTGAGAAATCAGATCTTAAACACAGTCAACTCACATGTTTTTTTAAAAGTCTGCCTCCAATGGGGAAATGTGCTAATAATGGTGTAGGTGGAGGAAAGAGATGGTTAATTTTAAAAATTAAAGATATGAAATCTGCCAGTAATAAAGGGTAAAGCAAGAAGGAGCAAGCTGTTCTAATTTTCCCAAATTCTATCTGCCCATACGTTTTGCATAAAATTTCAGTGAGTGAGAGTTCCCTTCTCCGACCTGCAGAGACCATCTTTGAATACAGAGTCTATTTATGCTTGTGTTTACAAACGATTTGTTGGGTTTGGGTTTTGTTACTTTCTTTTGTGTATCTTTTTTTGTTTTGTTGTTGTTGGCATTTTTCAGGTCACTTTGCTTTAATAACAAAGATGATTTTCAAATAATTTGTCTTCACCTTTTCCTCTATTTGTACATAGTGGTTCAGTATTAGAGAAAAGTGCATTGTTTCTGTCATATTTCCAATCTGTGTTGGTGCTCATTTGAGAAAATAAAGTTTTCAAATATTAATTCTCTGGAGCGCTCATCTGTCTTCATTGACCCAGCCAGTTTGATCTTGGCATTTAAAGTAACCGTAAGGCCTGCAGGAGGTCACCCCACTTACAGACCCGTCAACTGAGGCGTTATCTTCCTCAAGGACAGTTGGCCCATTCATGAATAAAAATCAGGTCTCCCGCGTCAGATATCAGACATGTAGGAGTGACCGTTATCATTTCTGTCTATTCAGTCCATAGTCTTAGCTTTTCTGTTTATACCGGTTTCCTTGGAAATAGAAATGCATTAGGAAAGGGGGGAATAGGGAACAAAAGAACAAAATTATGTCAAAAAGAGGCAGCAGGATCTCTGAATTGACTAACCAAGTCTTCTCACTCATTGAACACATTTGTTAAACACCTTCTATTAGATTCCAGGTGAGAGGTGAGGCAAGTTAACATCCTATAAACCAGCTGTTTTGGTTCCCAAGTGCCTTATCTGCAACCTCGCCCACAGGCACACCATCTCCCAGAGCCGCTGTGAGTACAGTTTTGTATTCTGGTACCTTCATGTTGCGGTGCAAACATTTTTGCCTGGACATCATCCATTTATGTTATATTCTTTTGCTCCCCCGCCCCCCCAAAAATATATATTTTATTGATTTTCTACAGAGAGGAAGGGAGAGGGATAGAGAGTTAGAAACATCAATGAGAGAGAAACATCAATCAGCTGCCTCATGCACACACACCCACTGTAGATGTGCCCACAACCAAGATACGTGCCTATGACCGGAATCAAACCTGGGAACCCTCAGTCCGCAGGCCGATGCTCTATCTACTGAGCCAAACAGGTCAGGGGATAGAGCATTTCTATGGTATATTCTAAGCACTTTTCCCACAGCTTGCCTCCCTAAATCTCAAGGAGGGAAAATAGGAAAGCCGCACAGATGTGTGGATGTGTTGGTGTGTTTTCACTTTGGTGGTTATAGTTTATGAACCTATTTCCCCATCAAATAGGAAATCCTTCTCTACTTCCCTTGAATTTTCACCTACCCCTCTGGGTCCAGCCGCTGTTGACTTTTAGTTGTCCTTGGGTGTGCTATTTTCCTGTGACCTGATTTGCCTCAGTGGACGTGCCAGTTATCATTTCATTCCTGTTTGCCTTTGGCAGATGGGGAGGAGAGGAGATAACACATGCTGGAGTCAACCAGTCTCCAACCGGCAATCTTTGGGTCCTCCCCCTTCTCAGCTCGTCTACCCCCAGCAGTTATCCGGTTCCAGATGACACTGGGAAGAAGTACAGAGGCACTAGGGCCCATGGAGTACTTTGCCTACAGGATCTCACTGAGGATCCTTGCGATGAGCTATTTCTTCCGATCATCCCAGGAATCCTTGCCATCCTGTGGGAAAGCTGATTTCAAATTAAATATTGACTATTCCTGTTCTTTAGATGATGAAATTGGAGTTTGGCAAGATTTTGTTGCTAGCCACGGGGTCTTTCCCTATGCTGTGTTCCCAGTTTCATCCTCCAGCCTTCACTCTATGGGACACTTGCCTTTTTTTTTTTTTTTTTAAATTTTTTTTTGTTTGTTTTGTTTTTTTAAATATATTTCTTTATTGATTTCAGAGAGGAAGGGAGGAGGAGAGAGGGATAGAAACATCAATGATGAGAAAGAATTATTGATCAGGACACTTGCCTTTTTAAAAAATTTTTGTTTATTTTGTTTTTTTAAATATATTTATTGATTTCAGAGAGGAAGGGAGGAGGAGAGAGAGATAGAAACATCAGTGATGAGAAAGAATTATTATTATTATTTTTTTAATATATTTTATTGATTTTGTACAGAGAGGAAGGGAGAGAGATAGAGAGTTAGAAACATCGATGAGAGAGAGTCATCGATCAGCTGCCTCTTGCACACCCCCCACTGGGGATATGCCTGCAACCAAGGTACATGCCCTTGACTGGAATCGAACCCGGGACCCTTCAGTCCCCAAGCCAACGCTCTATCCATTGAGCCAAACCGGTCTTGGCGAGAAAGAATTATTGATTGGCTGCCTCCTGCACATCCCCCACTGGGGATCAAGCCCGAAACCCAGGCATGTGCCCTTGGCTGGAATCCATCCTGGGACCCTTCAGTTGGAAGGCTGATCCACTGAGCCAAGCCAGCTCGGGCTCACAGGACACTTTCCACGTCTGCCCACGTGACTGCTTCATAGGTAAGGGTTCAGGGAATGAAAGTTAGAACATTAAAGTAATCACAGCCACCCAAGTCAGTGCTACCTGAGTAAGATTGTATATTCTGTAGCCGAACATAAGTGGGGCTTTGTTGTTTTTTAATACTCTGTAATGGATTACATATGTAATCCTGGGCCCCTCGACTAATAGTAGGTACTTAATATAGTTTGGTGAACATTGAATTAAAGTGGATGGGGGAGAATGAACAGCTTTAAACAAAATCTGTTCAACGTGTTGTTAGAATCCCTGAGAGGAGAATGGCGATGAGGTTAGCATGAAATGTTTTCTATGTGAGCTCATGGTTACACCACGAGTGATCAAATTTTTATTTTCATGTATTTATTCACCAAGCATTTTTTTTTTTAACACATAATTTGTGCCCTGTCTAGTCAGGAAAAGTAACCCCAGGGAGCAGAAAATCAGAGGCTCTAATTGTGCAAAGTGGGAAACCAAGGGTTGGGATGCATGGCCCTCCCTATTGTTGGCCAAATATCCAGCCATGACCCTCACAGGCAGCTGTTTCCTGCAGAAGCAATTGCTCATAAATCCTTTTATCTGGGCCCAATAAATGTCCTGGGGCAGCACAGGGCACAGGGCACAGGGCACGCTCTTGGAGTTAGAGCACAGGGCTAGCCTCAAACACCTGCTTCCCTTGGTACAAAGGAAATAGATGGCAAGGGCTGAGCCCAGTGCCTGGGATACAGTGAGGAGTCAATCATAAAGTAATTGTTATAACAGCTTGTTCAAGTCTATTTTGAATTGGAAGTGGAATAAAGAAGGCTATTGTATTTGTTTTCAATGTACATTATATGTTTAATTTTGCAACAATCCTGTGAAGCAAATGTCTCCGTTTTACAGAAGAGAAGCTAAGGCTCAGAGAGAGTGGGTAAAAAGCCTGTGGGAGAGCTGGGACCTCTTAATGCTTGTTCTGACTCGAAGCCTTCACCCTATCTGTGGCCCCAGCTTGCCTCTCAGGAAAGGGAGTAACTACCAAATAGGAAACTTTCTGGCAGATGTAGTTACACACCCAAAATTTCATGGGTTATTTTGTTTTTGTTCAAGTTTTCTTCCTTTTTATGTGAAATGGAAATTTTGGCTTTTCCAGTGGAAACCAAGAGCTTAAAATTGAGACGGGTTGAGTGGTATTATACCTTTGTTTCACAGGGTTTCAGGCCTCTTAGGAGGGGGGGGAAATGTTGCTTTCAGTTGTTGGCTGCTTTAAACAATAAAAATCCAAAAGCTTGCCCACGGAGAAGTGACTCAAGTCTCCTAACATATGACAGCATCTTCCTGG